AATCGTGACTGCCAACGTGAAGGACAATGAGTAAAAAAAAATTTTTTTTACAATTTTTTTTTATCTCACCTCCGCTTCCGACCATTATAAAAAATGATTTTTCTCAACATTCGAGAATCACTGACAGCGACGGCGGACTCGTCGAGTGGGCCGAGAGTTTTTAATTTAAAAAATTTTTTTTTCTCACGACGAATACTCAAAGTACGTCTTAGGAAGATTATCATCCCTTAAAAGCCACTTAAGAAAATACATGTGATATCGATTTAGTCATTACAACACAAAGGTCTGTAGTTTCCATTACGGACACGACTGAAAGCCAAACACCCCTATAGGACACCCCGTAAACTTTATACACAGAAAAAAAAAGTAAAACCACGGTGACAACAAAGTCCGTACCCACGTGTACAAATACAGGGTGATACAAAAGAAAAATCCAAGATACACGTTCACCGACTCAGTACGTCATCCCTAATGAAAGCGAAATTCTTACATACACAGGTATACCTCTATATACACATAATGGACGCAAGATCGCCAATAACATTCATTGCATTCAAATGTCAACCGTAATCGTCTCTATCTCTTAAAGATAAGGGGCGCGCACACGAATTCTCATTCCGAGTATGGCAAGAGAAATAAAAAGACGAAAAAGGACGAGGAAGTTCAAAGCTGATATCCATCAAACCAGTTTTACGCAAAAGAAATTAAACCAGTTTTCAATCATTTCAATATATATGTATATACACGCCACGTATACACTGTATACACAGTCGCTATACTTGGTCCGTAGGCAATGACTTCGATTGAGTCATCGATACAGCAATGTAGAGTAAAGGAATTCATTTCGATTGTAAGTAGCAATGTAGCTTCATATATATATATATATATATATTCTAATGTATATAGATATACACGTACAAAAATGTATAGTAGAATGCTTAAGAAGAACTGTAAGTGGTAAGTACGAGATGCTGGAGGGCATGAGTGTGCGCAGGTGTATATACATATATATATATATATATATACATATGTAGAAGAAGGCATTACCGTGATCTCAGCATGAGAGTGTGCTTGGCTATCTCCGTATCAGCAATCTGTGACAAGTTGGCGTAATGAGGGCCTCCCTCTTTGTGGAGCAGATAGGTAGAAGCGGACCCAATTATCGGGCTCCGGTGCTTCTTCTCTTACCAAGGCTCACCGAAGTTCAACGTGGATACGCACAGCAGGGTTGACGTGCACTGCCGTGGAGAATCAAAACCGAAGAGACACGAACCGTCACGGAATTACCCGACGATCGGATTCCTTTAAGGAATCAAGTGTGATGTATATATATATATATATATATATATATACTTGGTATACCTTGAGATAAGTATACAAGTTAATGTGTATAGATACAAAATGGCCGCGAGAAACACCTGCAATTAAGATACGTCGATCAGGATAATATATACAGGGTGTACGTAATTTGTATGAAAGTTCGTTGAAACTAGGTTAGGTTAGGAAAATTTTAAAAAAATTATTATGATATTCTTGACGGTCACTTTAAAAAAAAAATTTTTTCTTGTGTTTTCGATCTATTAATTTTTCACGGAAATTTTAATCCGTCGATACTTACCTGATTGCGTTTTCAATTTCATACAGATTTTAATTTAGAATCTTGACTTCGGCTCCCGACTATATTCCTAACCTATAAGTTTGGTATCTGGAATGGCGGGAGATTCGAATATTCGAATGGGCCACTGAATCGAGGTAGTAGGCGGATGCTGGGCTTCTCTATATAGGATCGAGGCTGAGGTGCGCCGGGAGTGCAGAGTGGTCCAGGGATGAGAAAATCTCATGGTCCGATGTCCCGCATTGATGGATCACTCGGGCGATCGCGCGCTCCAACCAGGAGTGATTGAATATCTCGTGGTCCATCTCGACTCCAATGAAGATCGATTAGCGACCATTATGCCCGCTACAAATCGATATTCTGATTTGTACGCGATGGTCCCGGCACAATCGGAGATAATTAAATCAATCAAAGAGTCTTCGATGAGACGGCATATACTGTATACAATATCCACTTGCATACACTGTACATTATATTCATATATAGTTTGATACTCGACTCTGCCCGATACAGTCTGTGGATATTATTATTAATGAAAAATAAAATAAAATTACCTCAAACGGCGACTATCGCAAACCTAAATTTGTCCCGATCGTTCGGTCGCTTACATGAAAAGATTCCTTACTATGCATACGCCTATACGGACTACAGCCGCAATGGGAAGGGGTGTGGACGTAACAGCGTTGAGCGTGTCGATAATCTCAGTCAGACATCGCCAATCGTAAGGCCCAACCCTGTCCCTGTTTGGGGGTCAGTAACAGGGCCTTATATCCCCCCGTTCTTATCGAGGGACCCAATTATAATTCGTTCCTCTTTCACGGACCCATTTCAGCCGATCGTCCTGCCACGTATATACACTCCGGTCGATTCGATATACAGCTATCGCGAGATATAACGTGTAAGGATGAACGATATATATATATGTATATATATATCCATTTCGAAGAACGATCCGGTTGATCCTTTTTAATTGGGATTGACCTTTGCGACCGTTATCTTTATTCACACCGGAATTTCAAATGAGACATAGAATTTAAAAAAAGAGAATTCCACGTGCCAGCAGGAAAGATTAACTCGAGTTACGCGTAGGAAGGAAAGGTCTAATTAAAAAAAATGGATTTTCAAAAAAAAAATTTCTAATATGAAAATCATCCATAAAATTATTAAAATCAATATATATTATTAATCGTAGTACATATATAAACGGAGATCGCAAGGGCCGTTCCTACACGCACGTCTCCCTATGGCATAAACAACAACCGGTTGGGCCCGATCGTTTGACAGGAAGTGCAGGATGAAAAAAAAAGAAATGAAAAAAAAAAATAAAAGAAAGCCTCAAGCCGGTGGAAAAAAAAAAGTTGAGAAGCCGAGTGCGAGGATGGTGCTTTTAATTAGTCGGAGGT